TCCCTGACATGAAAAAACCCAACAAAACCAAGATGATAACAGAGTCATGCAGGCAACAGTTCACTATACACACAGTGTTTTGGCCATAGCCTATCATTTCATCATTTCCTTCATGTTGTTCAGGATTTTCAGGTGGTGATCTTGGTTTTGGCTTTGCTGGGCCTCAGCTCAGCGCTGGTCTGTCCTGATGGAGGCATGTGTGAAGACAGAAACACCTGCTGTAAGAACACCGTGGGAGGATACGGGTGCTGTCCACTACCTCATGTGAGTTAAAACGGACTCACAACGGTAAAAGAAGGAGCTTGTTGTACTGAGTGTGTTTGAGAATTTAACAGCGTTAACATGATTAGAATTCTGTCCAGATTATCTTTTTTCTGGTTTGTATCTACAGGCAGAATGTTGTGCAGACCACCTCCACTGCTGTTATGAAGGAACCCTGTGTGACTTGGTCCATAAAAAGTGTGTTAATAAAACTGTTTCCCTGCCCTGGCTAAGACGGCTTCCTGCCAAACAGGCCTTTTCTGTCTCTCAGGTAATATTGGTGTGTCCATGTTGGATGTCTTCCGTACAAGGATGTGTTTAAAAGATAGAAGACAGAGGTTTTCATCTTTGTAAAATGTTGTTGGAGACCCCTGAGAGACGTGTCTTAGCTCGGATGCCTTTTGAAATTATAACATCTGTCTTTGAACTTTTTCACTTGCTATTATCTTTACTGGATTTTTTTACTACTAACAGTCCACAATTCTCATCTTTGTTTCTGTGCTGCTTTCACTCTCATCCTTCCCTGTCTGTGGTCCAGCTCAGTGAGAGCCTGAAGGTGGTTGTCTGTCCAGGAGATGATGCAACATGTCCAGATAACAGCACTTGTTGTCAGCTTCATGGAGGCAACTGGGGCTGTTGTCCACTGCCCAAGGTAGTTAACCTGAGATGATGATTTTCACATATCGATGTCTAACCGATATTTATAAACATTGACGTTTTACTTTTCTCATTTCAAATTTTTCACATGTCTAACTTTTATTTATTTGTGTGTATCTGATGATAGTTCCAATCCTAATCCTGTCGATGTGACTAAATAATAAATGATGTTGGTTCCTCTCCACAGGCTGTCTGCTGCGGTGATAAACACCACTGTTGTCCTGAGGCAACAACGTGTGATATAACGAAACAAAAGTGTGTCTCTGCCTCATTGGAGTCTTTCCCCATGTTGGAAAAACTACCGGCTCTGCAGAACAAGGACAATTCAGGTAGGACAATGTGTGCTTGACTGCAATTAACCAACTAACTCATATAATTAAATATGAGCTCATAATTTGAATCAATTGTTCCACAGACGCAGATCCTTGTAGATAAATCACAGTTTGTGTGTGTTTTCCACAGATGAGGGTGTTGTCTCAGTGACCTGTCCAGGTGGTAAAAGCAGTTGCCCAGACAGTTATACCTGCTGTCTGCTCACCAGTGGAGACTATGGCTGCTGCCCGTACACAGAGGTAACTGTTCCACAAAGGGCTGCTGTGGCTGCAGGGTTCTGTTCCAGTCAAGTAAAATCTTCAGGGTTTGCTACAGAAGCCAAAACACACGTTCTATCCAAATCCTATTCAAACATCTCTGACCACCATGTCTATGATGTTTAATACAGTTCTGTCTGTCTGTCTATTTAGCACATGTACAGTAGAACGATGTACTGAATGTCTTTTGCCTAACGTTCTTCTGCTCCTTATGCTGTTCACCTCCAGGCTGTGTGCTGCAGCGATCAACTCCACTGCTGCCCCAGTCACACAGAGTGTGATGTGAAGCGTGGCGTCTGCAGGTCGGCTCAGACAATAGTACCGCTGTTGAAGAAAGTCCCAGCTGTTCCCAATGATGGTAAGCAGCTGACGCTTTATCTTTTTTAAATCTTCAGTTGGAACATGTCAGTTTTTTATTCACTGTAGTAGACTAGAGAATAGGAGTCTATTATTCATCAGAATAGAACACATGCAGGTGTTGACCAGCGAACTCTGCTGCTCTGTCAGTTAAATGTCCAGACAAGAAGACGGCCTGTCCTGATCAGACCACCTGCTGCCAGATGACCAACGGCTCGTACGGATGCTGCCCAATGCCTAATGTGAGTAGCAGTGAAAAGCTTTTCCCATTTACTTGTGCATTTTGAATATGTTTTAATGACAGTTTAGGGGGAAAAAAAAGTCCTACTCTCACTTTTTTAATCCATGACTTTGTTTTACTGTCGTCATTCAAAGAGATGACTTTTTCTCCTGTTTCAGGCCGTCTGCTGTTCAGATCACATGCACTGCTGTCCTGAAGGAACCATGTGTGACCTACGGCACAGCACCTGTGTGTCCACTCAGGGCAATACTGTCACCATGGCTTCTGAGGTCAATGCTGCTGTGACGGAGCTGGTGCTCCCTCAGCTGTCAGGTGAGAGTGGAAGACTGTAAGACAGTAAGACCCTGGTTCAGATTTTACACTGGTATAATCTCACCTCTTTGTAAAACCAGTGGTGAGATGAAATCAACCTATTGACTGACAGTGATTTGTTTGTTTATTTCTCAGATGCTTCTGTTCCCTGTAATGAATCTGTGGCCTGTGCAGATGGAAAGACCTGCTGCAAAAAAAAACAGGGTGACTGGGGCTGTTGTCCTTTACCTGAGGTAAATTCAAAACCACTGTGTCATCAAACACACCAGCATGAACTAAGGGTTTGACTTTGTAGAGCTGCATGTTTAAGAGGTTTGCCAGAGACACGTTACCTCTTTCTCTCTCTCCTACTCTCTGTGTAAAAGAAGATGAATTTCCTGTGCATGTCTTCCCTTCAGGCTGTCTGTTGCGAGGACCACTTGCACTGTTGTCCCCACGGCACCATCTGTAACCTGGCAGCGTCCACCTGTGACGATCCCACATACAACACCGCAGTGACGCCTTGGCTTAGGAACGAGCCTGCCTTTTCTTTACAGTCGGACAACAACAAGTGCGATGAAACCACGTCCTGTCCTGGGAACTCCACCTGCTGCGGGGCCGCGGGGGGAGAGTGGGCCTGTTGTCCTCTGGCTGAGGTGAAGAATGACCTCTGCTTTTCATACCGTTTTATTAAAAAAAAAAAGAAATTAGTTAGTAAAACAGTGACAAATTTCACATCCTGTCTCCATCTCAGGCTGTGTGCTGCGACGACCACATCCACTGCTGCCCCTATGATACAACATGCAACCTGAAGGCTCAAACCTGTAAGGATCCTTTCGGTTTTGTTCCTTCAATTTCCTGGATGAAGAAGCTCTCTCCTCTGACTATTAAGGTTGGGAATGAGAACTGTGACGGACAAACCATGTGTCCAGGGGGCACGACCTGCTGTAAGAAGACTTCTGGACTGTGGGCCTGTTGTCCGTTACCTCAGGTCAGTGTTCTGTGAACCTTTGTTACTGACAGACGTGACGTCATTGATAGAGAATGTTTGTTTTGTTTCTTTTTTTATTGATGAAAATAATCTCGTACGAGAAAGACACGTTTGCTCGTAAGTGTCTGGTACACTTGATTGCTCTTGAATAAAATCTCTTCTTTGCAGGCCGTGTGCTGCAGTGACCAGGAGCACTGCTGCCCCAAAGGCTACAAGTGTAACGTGGCTCAGCAGACGTGTGATAAACCCGGTGGTCTGACTCTGCCCTGGCTGCTGAAAGTACCTGCCCTGCAGAGGGAGCCCACGCGGGCTGTATCACTTCCAGCTCAGCTTGCCAGGAAAATGTGTGACTCCAATACCAGCTGCCCCAAGGATACAACCTGCTGCTTCATGGAACAGACCCAGAAGTGGGGCTGCTGCCCTCTGCCCACGGTAAGACCGGGACTGCAACACGTTTATCCAAGAAAAACAAACCGTACCACACTGACTTATGTTCCCCTCTTCTGCCACTCAGGCTGTCTGCTGCAGTGATGGAGTCCACTGCTGTCCCAACGGTCACACCTGTGAGCCACACAAGTGGTCCTGCTCCAGGGGTCCTCATGTCATACCCTGGTTCACTAAACTCAGTGCTTACAGTGAACCAGACTCAGTGACTGATGTGAAATGTGACAACAAGAGCAGCTGTGCTGCAGGAACCACCTGCTGTAAACTGCCCACAGGAGAGTGGGGCTGCTGCCCTCTGGTCAAGGTACGAACATCGTCCACCCACTTAGAAGACCCTCCAAGAAAGGGTTTGTACAAGTGTTGGAGAACTGTGTTTGTAACCTGTGAGAAGATACTCAAATATGAGAGTGTGGCTAGTGTTAGCAGACAGTTAGCCTAACTACAGTAGGTTAAGAGGATTTAGTAAGAAATGTATATAAATCCATCACTTTTGTTTCCTGCACACACATGAACAACTCACACCCTGTGACTCTCGACTCCCCTTCCTCTGCAGGCGGTGTGCTGTGAAGACCACCAGCACTGTTGTCCTCAGGGATACACCTGCAACATGAAGACGGGGACATGTGACAAGAAGGACAAGAACGTCCTCACACACACCCTCCATCAGATCAAAGTGGTACAGCCCCAGTCCCAGTTCTCGGAGGACGACGTGGGCGTACCATGTGACAGCACGGGAGACCTCCAGTGCTCTAAGAGCGAAACGTGCTGCAAGACATCACCCTCAGGGTGGGCCTGCTGCCCCTCCCCTCAGGTATCTGTTCATCACTGACCTCTTTATTTATGTTTTTTTTTTGTTTACAATCAAATGATGACAAGATGTGGGCAATTCCTTTTTCAACCACACGAGTAATCCATCACTACACTACATCTTCTCTCTGTTTCAGGCCGTCTGCTGCTCCGACTCTAAGTACTGCTGCCCTGCAGGATTCACCTGTGACTCGAGGACAGCAAGCTGCAGCAGGATAAACAGCAACCAACTGAGCTGGGACACTTTCTTTGGAGATAAACGGAGAGACTTTGTCCCACGCGGACTTTAATTTAACTGAGATATCTGCACCTTAGGAGATGTTTTCATTTTGTGGGTATTATGGGATACACCATGGTTGTAAAAACAAACTGTCGATCACTGTGGTCTGCTGCGGTCGTTCACACTTGAAACACAGGCAGTCGACTCTTTTGCTCAGCATTTGGAAATAGGTTTGTGAACTGATGTAAAGGGGGTTTGCTAAATTTTTCTTATTGTCTACAAACCAATGAAAACTCCATGTCTTCTTAATGGAGACATTTTAACTAATAAGTTAAAGCTAATTTAAATAATTTGTCATTTGTCTTTTGTCTGTCACTGTTCTTTAGACTTGTTTCATCCCTAATGTTGACGAAGCACACCAGCGATTCTTATTTTTTCTGTCGGTCTGTCACCAGGTGTTGTCCACATAAAGGTTCGGTTTGTTGTTTAACTGTGAATTTGATTTGTGTGTTACTTAATTTTTCCATTTATTGTGTTTTTTATGATTGAGGGTGAAATGCCCAGGAGTAAAAAATAAACTTGGGTTGTTTTTTTTGTTTGTTTAATTTAAAACTATTCAAAAAATTGTTTGAAGAGTTAAACTGCTGTTAATTTTGGACAATATAAATCAACAGGTCTAAACAGGCTGGATATGCCTTCTACAGCTGTAGTGCAGATGGTGCTCATCATGTTTAAATTACACAAGTATTTATTTCTTGGACAATGAAGTGGAAATTTCCTATTTAATATAAGTGAAACACTGCTTAAGTGACAAATAAAAACAAGAAGTTGTCCTTTATCAATCACATTGAAGACTTTAGGTGAGGTCTTTTTCTGATGCCAGTTATGTTTGCACACAATTTCTTGCCAAAAGTTTTAAAAAAAAAGAAAATTCAAGATCAGTCTTTTTTTTTTTTTACTTTAAATCATTTTAAGCAAACTATCATTTTAAGTCTCTGTAAATGAACTTGAGGTCTTAGTTTAAAAGAATATCTTGATATAAATAAAATCATCAAGCAGTGACGGCAGTGATGGCTCGCTTTTTTTCCCTTTCTGACCCTAAATTTAGAGGAAAAACTATTAACCATTTATGGCCATATATGTACTTAAGAATCTGGCATTTAATACAGTGGTCTGCAGCCTTTTTTTTTTCTCTGAGAACTACTTTTACGAAATAGAAATGGCCCAGAGTTACTCATGTTGTCAAACAAATGATTGCTTGTTTCAAACAAACTGTCTTAGTACGCTTTCTTTGCCTAAACATACATACACAATATATATATATATTACATTTTGGATTAAAACATCACCAATCTATTATTATTGTTGTTGTTGTTGTTATTGGCAGTGTGGCAGTCCAAAAGAACATCCAGGTAATTAAGGCCGTATTGTACTTCCATTGTCGTCACGATGTCGCCCTCTGCTGAATGAAAAGAGCACAACCGAGTGCACTCTGTCTGCACGATTGGCCCTCTGCTGTTTGAAAGGAGCACCCAAACAATAACATAGGTTTTAGTAGTTATATATGATTAAAGAGGTTGATAAAAATTAAACTAAAAATATGACAGACCATTAGTTCAAAAGGGGAAAAATGCTGAACTAAGCCAGCATTAACTAAATGTTTGCCTACACATAAAGATTGGCTAAATATAATTTATAAAATAAAAACTAGTAATGATAATTATAATAAATGATGTCATCTCTTGAGTATAATCTGTTGACAGGACATGCATCACCAAAGACCCCCACACCTACTCACCCCTCCACATGCATACACTTCCTCTGGCCTTCACCCTCCATATTCTCTTACCCTCCGCCCTCTGAATGTCCCGCCTCCACCTCGTCATCGCAAAGTTGTTATGACGACGTGTGGAAAACACAGGACAGTTGGATGGAGATCAGGGTGTAGGGTTGTGTGTGGCCCACTTTAATGTCAACTTTTGGCAGCAGTGTAGTACCAGGCTGAGAGAGGCGCTTCCCTACCTCAACTGCCACCTGGTGGCTGGAAACGGAAGCTAAAGAAAAACTTTTTTTTTACACCTTATTTTTCAGCTCCTTAGTTGAAGGAAAGGCGTGCTAATGTATGTGTGTGTGTGTGTGTGTGTGTGTGTGTGTATTATAACATTAATTTGAAAATAAAGGAACAACAACTGAAACTTTCAGGTGATCAAATACAGCAAAGCAGCATGAAAACTAATTCAACTTAAACTTCACACAATAAGCCTTTAAATCTTTCACCATCATCATCATCATCATCCTCATCATCATCATCATCATCATCATCATCCTCCTCATCATCATCATCATCATCATTCTGATTCAACAACACATGTTGACTCATCAGTGTAGTAGAGAATGGTACTACGTTAATAAAGACAGTAAAATTTGGCCAGTCTGGTCAAATATACTGAGCCTTGAATTTTTGAATTGTTGAAAATCTGTAATTTTCTTTGTGGAGCGGAACACACTTGTTTCGTGTTCCTGTTTTTTTCCCCATCCTCTGGTCACGTTTCTCCTCATGTGTGAGGGAGACGTGTCGAGACCTGACAGCTCCACTGAAGCCGCTCAGGTCTATGTATAGCTGAGTTGACCCACCAACAGCAGAGAAAAGTGAAGTGACAAAAAGTTTGACGTGACAGAAAACGTTTCTCCTCAGCCTCACTATTGGTCAGAGGCTGATCCCATTCACATGTTGCCAGGGAGAGGAAGCCAGAACCTAAAAGACTACACACACACACACACACACACACACACACACACTCACTCCCACTTGTGGCATTTTGTTAATTCCCATAGGAACAGATTCCATTCGTGTCACAGAGGGACAGCAGACGTGTTGGGGGAGATGGGCTGGGTGGGATGTGTGAGGGGTTACAGGTGTATGTGTTGTTGCTTAAACAGCTGCAGAGGAACCTGTCTAAACTTCTCTTGCCAAGCATACAGAATTACAGCTTTTGTTATTTGGCAAAAGTTTACCAGTGCCATTGTAGTTGGTGGGCCTGTCTGTTACCTCGATTCCTTATAAAACTGAGTCTGGTGGAACCACAAAGAAAAATCTGTCCAAAATAATAAGGATGTTTAGAGCAACAATTTTAGAATTGAAAACAAATGAACAGAAGATAGCTAAAATCAACCAAATAGTAGCCAAAGTGTTAGCTGTAACAGAAAAACTAACGTTACTTAAAAGGCTAGGTATGACATTAGCATAAAGGTGGGACAGAAATGTCATTTACAGTTAGAATGACAGTAGATTAGCACCATAAAGGTTACTGATGACTACAGGTAGGCCTGGCAATCATTAAAATAATAAAATATAATGATATTAGCTTGATTAACCAAACCAAAGCTAGGTTGGCAGGTAGCTAACTAAATAAACCCATTAAGAAGAGACAGCTTTAGCGAACTAACAATAACTAAAAGGAAGCCAAGATAAAGTTGTAGAGATTTAAACATAAATGCCTCTGAAAAATATAATAACAGAAAATTATTATTTTTTAATTCTAGATGCAGACTGTCCACTCATAAAGGTGTATATACTTCAGGCAGGCATCATGTCTTATTTATTGTTTTTTTTTCATTAATCTCAGTGACCGTGTCAGCTCAGTGCCAGGGCTGACTGGACATTTGCAGCATCCATCCAAGGCCTTGGGACAGTGGTATGTGTGTGTGGGTGGAGGCGTGGGGGGCAGAGTGGGGGGCAGAGGTGTAAGAGCTCATAATTCAAACACACACACATGCTGGACCAATCATCGGAGCGTGAGGGGGCAGAAAGCCGGTAGGTTACACTTGGATACCGATATACACAGAAAACAAACCAAACCAACACACACACACACACACACACACACACAGTCTTCTTGTCTTCGGCTCATCGGGATCATTGACCTGTGACGGACAGGAAGGAAACAATCACTTGATCGTTCTTCTGAGGTAAACACAGGATCTTAAATGTTAGGTGTTGTCAAACTGTTGTTTGTGTGTGTGTGTGTGTGTGTGTGTGTGTTTGGTGGTGAAGCTCACACATTTGAAGTGGTGACAGAGAAGATACCTTCTTTGGAAACTCTTCTCAAATGTAGTGTGACCTGTGAGTGTTAGTAGGTTCATTATGATTTCTCTGGTTTAGAAACACATCTGTAGGTCAGGGGTGGACGTGTGTGGGTCATCTTCTGTCCAACACTGTCCTCTCAGGGCGGGAAGTGTGTGTGTTTTGATTCCTGGGGGTCTGCAGCCAACATGGCCGAGAGCTTCGAGGCAGAGAGACTCTGACAGCTGGCCCGGCCTGTGGAAAGCATGCTTCTGCTGCTGCAGCTTCTCTCTCTGTTCTATTTATACTCCCCTCACCAGGCTCTCTGCTGGTGTCTGTTCATTCACGCCAAAGACCTCGGCAAATAAGCCCACATTAAAATGCCTGTCAGTGACAAAGCTGCTCCGACCACCGTAGTTGAATGGGTTGGTTATTAAAAGGCCAAATACTACGCTCTTAAAATCTTTATTTTAGCTTTTCAATGTGAAATTGAAGCTACTTTGTTTGGTACTTTTGATATCCTTTCACCTTTAACCCTGACCTTTGGCAAATGTGTTCATTTATTGTCAACTTAAAAGTATCTTTAAACTCTTGATAACATGTTTAGTATGTATATTTGCTGTATTTTGTTTTGGTTTCCCGGCGCAGTGTGTTTTAATTTTAAGTTTTCCATTATTGTATCTTCTTGGTTGAACTTTTGATGTTCCTGATCAACGTCAAGCTATTGCTCTATAATAGATTCGTAGATACTGTAAGCCATTCTTTCTACAGTAGCTTACTACGATTCGAAAACATTGTATTTGCTGACCTCTAGTGGTTAAACCTTTGCTTGAATCGCTTCCCAGTTGTTTTCAGTGGTACAGATGGGCTGTGTGTGGGCTCAGCCATACAAACTACTGTGCCAACTGCTGGATTAATGTTGGACTCATGTTTGTTGTTGTTTTTTCTACAGTTCCCACAAATCAGATGCACAGCCACACTGACGGAGAAATGGCCATACCACGGGTTTTTAACTCCAACACACCTTTCATCATTGTATCAGGGGGATCTGAGCTTACGTTCCTGAGCAAGGAGGAGAACAACCAGGGCTGCGAAGAGGAGAAGGAATCACTGGTCCAGGCCATCACCCCACACCTGGGCCGAGTGATGCAGCATGGCACGGCCAAACACATGGTCACACAGGGACGTGAGGAGTCAGAGGAGAATCCCTGTGTGTCTATAGTGGCCCAGGCTGAGAGTGAGAACAATTCATATTTATTCTCGCTCTGTATTTATGTATCCACACCTTTATGAAAACCCCAAATTTCTTCACCACCGCAGGAGAAGACTTTCAAGAGTTCAGTCCCACCATCACTCAAGGCCCCTTCTCAAGGAGTCAGCAGCTCAAAAAACTCAGGTACTGAAATATATCCCATTCAAATCAGACTGTACAGCAGTACTTCTCAAATAGTGGGGCGGACCCCCATGGGGGGCGTAGTGAGGTGTCAGAGGGGGCTTCCAGTGGAATATGGCACGCTGGACATAAGTGTACAACTGCTGTAATGCGTGAATGATAACAAGTCTCCAGTCACTAGGTGGCAGCAACTCATACAGTGGTTTGTACAGATAAAATATACATGTTATCAGGTTCTCAATAGAATTTTATTTTGCCAGGCTGTGTGAACATCTCATAACAAAATAGTCATAAATATGGCCATCATCATCATCATTATACTGTATATATCATTATGTAGCCTGTCTGCTCCTAAAGTAATGACTGAGCACTTAGTATCTGAAGCTGCAGGAACAACTACTGTAGCTACAGATAAGGGTGCACGATGGACTTTGTCACCATAATGTAGGAAACCATTATGAGGTAGTTGAAGCATCTTCACCTTGGAAGATCCACATGGCGACAGATTAGTTAGTCACTGAGAGAAAAAATAATTCAGCCTGATGATCTGAGCAGCCTCTGTCTTGCTGTCCCTGAAACGTCACATCTGATGCTAAAAATATCTGTTTGCTGAATAAATCTCCTACATTTCAGGTCTGTCAGCAAGGAGTCAGCGTTCATAAGTGACACAGAGGATGAAGATTTTGATGTGTCCACCAAACGCTCTCACTACCACTGGCAGAGAAAACAGCGCAGAAAAGCACGAACCAGGCAGAGCCCGGAGGAGGGAGGAGAACCTCCTGTCATCTGTGGTCTGTGGGTGCAGGAGATTGACTGGCTCAAATCAGCAGACGCTGAAAACGTGGCGGCGGCATCATCTGCTGAGCTCATCCCGCCTCCTCCCCAATTTACTGACTCAGTCCTTTGCTCCTGCTGCCACAGAGACACACACTCCTCCACCTGTGATGAAGGCTGTAGCTGTGCTGAGTTGGGTGACTTTGTCAGAGAATCAGAGGATGTGTCGCCTTCAGAAGATCTGTGTAGATCAATAATGTCAGATGAAACGTCCAGTTCTGAGGACAGAACAGGCTCAGACTTTGATTGTGGTCTGGACCAGACCTCGGAGTCCATCTGCACTCATGACGGTGACTCAGACTCGTCCTGCTGTGCAGAGGACGACACACAAACACCAGAGAGGCTTGGAGTTGAAGCCAATGTTTCAGATTCAAACTTTGACCTGATGCACGTGTCTGGGTTTAACTTGAGTCATGTTGACTGGGATTATAACTCTGACGACCCGAGTGACACTGGTGAGGTCTTAAATGCAGTAGGAGGCAGAGTGACAAAGATGCCGAAACTCTGTGCGTCACCACTGCTTGAAGATTTGATAAAAGACACTCTTGAAGACTGGACACACAACATGGCCCACAACGAAGGACTCATATTTCATCATGTAAGATAACTACAGTTTCTACCTTTTACTCTCTGCCACCCACGGGATATATTTCAGACATTCCCACTCCTGAAAGAAAAAAGGGAAATAAACAAGGGGAAGCAGCATCCATTCAAGTTAACACAACACCATACACTTCTGGTGGCCAACATACTAACACACCATACACTTCTGGTGGCCAACATACATTACTAAGAACATTATTGAGTGTTATGTCAATATGCTAGGATTTGCAGTGATGAATCTGTGTTTTCCTATGCCTCTGTGATATTTTGTTGTTTATTTCTTTTCCAGCAACTCCAGCCCAGAGGCTGTCAGTACAGGGAGGGAGAAGAATACAGCATTCTCCACCACATTCAGAACGGATCATATGGCGATGTCTTCTGTGTTCAGGACAAAAGGACAGGATTCAAATGTGCTGCCAAGAGGGTGAGTCAATAAAGTGTGGGACAAATTGTCAAACTCAGTCACGGCCATGACTTTGGAGCGTAATATTCTGTGCTTGAACTCAGAAACGAGTTAAAACAATATCATGTCCAATGATGTCAGATTCCACTCAGTCATTTCAGCTGTGAGGAGGTGAGCACCTGGAGTGCCCTCAACTCTCCTCGAGTGGTGGAGCTCTTTGGGGCGGTGAGGGAGGGACCCAACATTGTGCTGTTTATGGACTTAAAGCCTGGTATGTATAGTATTTGTATGTCAAATATTTCAATTGCATTTTTAATGAATTGGAGCTGACAATTAAAATAGGCCTAATTAAACAAAGTTGATGCCTGTTGAAAACCTCTGCAGCTTGTTTGGCTCAGCTCCTAAAGGACATGAAGTCCTTTCCTGAGGATTTGGCCTTGCACTACCTACTTCAAACGCTGGGGGCACTAGAACACTTACACAATAGAAGCATCATTCACCTGGATATCAAAGGTATTCCACTTTAACACTAGCAGTGTTCATTTCATCTTAAGTCTATAATTTTTGTAGTACAAGTACTAAAAATGAGAAGACAAACTGTGTCAGGGACAAGGAGGAGTACAGATTTCTTCATCAACTAGAGTTTACTGATTTAAATGATGAACTCCATTATTTTGTTTTCCATTGTCTGGTCTACAGCCTGTTTTGGTATAATTTGAATGTGTTTTATGTAAATATATCAGCCAGTGCTATCAGTGAATAGCAGTGCAGTCTGTAACTGGCTCTCAGTAACTGTCAGGGTATTGACAAACTTTTCATATTCTTCTAGCCTTTGGCTGGTGCTCTGCTTCTGTGTACTAATCCTGGTGCGGCACCTCATCACAAAATCCTCAGTAATCCCTTCACAGAGGATTGTTCTAGCGGGTGTTTGCACAAATTAAGCCCCTGTATTGTGCTCTAAGTTTATTGCGAGCATGTTCGCTAAGTCCACAACCCTAAAACCCAGCAGTGGCGTAAAGTTAGAATCTCAGTGTGCTTTATTGTTAGAGAAGCCATCTATGGGTAGCCAAAGACAAAAGGGCATTTGAGGAGATGTTCCATCAGAAGCTGCAGAGCTTTGCTCCCATCTCTGTGACACTGTGACAAGCGCCTGATTTCTTCATAAAGAGCACCGAATGAAAACAAGCTGTCTCTCTGAATCATGTGTGTTGATTTTATTCCAGTTGACAACGTGTTGCTGTCTGCAGACTGCAGAGACACATTCCTCTGTGACTTTGGTCTCTCAGAGACGTTAGACAGCAGTGGACGCAGCAACAAGGCTTTCAGGGGTGAGTTGATTGTGACAGGTCCACAATGCACCACGACACAGTTAATACAATTTAATCATCCAATTGAGAGTGAATGTTGATAAAGAAGAGAACAGTAAGAGTAAAAAACAATTAAAACTTTTTACCCATTAAACTACAGACAAAAACAAATTGTGCTTCTAAACAGAAGATGATTTTGAAAAATCTTTGGTTCTCCTTTTGCTGATATGTTTGATATTTAGCATTGCAACATCAAAATCAGAGACACACACAAAATTTACCAGGACCAAAAACAGAAATGTCTTGTCAAATAAACCATGTCTTAGTAGCTGGAATATACTAAAATAATGAAATTCCCAGAAAAAGCTCCTGAAGTTCACAAATGAACACCAGCTAAAATCTTCATGTAGGTGTTGCGATCCCCGGCACACAGACCCACATGGCTCCAGAGGTGGCTCGAGGGGATCAACTCTGTGCCAAAGCCGATGTGTGGAGCAGCTGCTGCATGCTGCTGCACATGCTGAATGGCTGTCATCCTTGGATACGTTACTATTCACATCCTCTATGTCTTCAGGTAAGGTCATGTTGGTTTAATAATCATGTTTCTGTCAACAGAGTTAGAACAAATGTTTTGATTGCCAAATATTCACATTTCTGCTCAGATTGTCAATAAACCTCCACCTCTGTGGGAGGTGCCCTCCACCTGTAACAACTTCACAGCCCAAGTGTTTAGAGCTGGGCTCCAGAAGGAGCCTGATAGACGAGCATCGGCTAAAGAGCTGAGAAGGAAAACCATGCAGGCCCTGAGAGCAGGTGAAAAAAGATTTGATTTTGACTCACCTGCTACTTATATTCTGGTTCAGACTATCAATAGCTTTGATAAAGTGGAATAATCCCATGATGCATTGGTACTTAAAGAGAATCTTTTATGTCCTCAGTTGGAGGACTGAGCCCCCTGTCAATGACTGCTGCCTTTGAGACTCTTCATCAGAGCAAAAAGACACAGACTGTAGACACGCCCTGCTCTTTATCCTTTGGTCCCACTCCAAATACAGCAACAGGAGCCAAGATGCACTGGGTAAGCCCCTGGAGAACTACAGCAGTGGAGGAGGACAGCAATGACAAGGAGGAAGACTTAGACCACATTTCTGAAGTGGGGACAGAGTTGGACTCAAAGCCAAGGTCACTCCGAGACGACTACACTGCAGATGAAAAGGACCGGGACACTGACTCTGAATCAGACATTGACATGTACATGGGAGAGGAGGAACTCATGCAGGAGAGGTGGCTGAAAACCGATAGGGAATATGAGGGGGACTGGGAAGAGGAGGGCCAAGAAGAGGAAGAGGAGGAAGAGGAAGATTGGCACTCCTCTGGATATACAGAGTATCTTCATGCTCTTCGAGGTCTTTTTCCTTTACTTCGGAAGGGGCGACAGACAAACGACAGTCCATGGAGATCAGAGGCCGAGCTGGAATACCTCAGAGATGGTAAGTGCACAACTTCAAATTTATCAAAACACACAGGAATACTTCCATTTATCACACCTACCTCTGAAACATAGATCACAAATTAATTTAATGATCTACAGTAGGAGAATAAGTGGGACAATAAGTGGGCCATGGCTTAGCCTCTGGTAAAGATTGACTTGGAAAGAGAAATGCCAAGATAAATATGTTGTCTCTCATTAGATGTCCCCCAGGGCACCGTGTTCCAGACCCCCTCCCCTGAACCTCGAGATGATCCACCATCTTGTTTCAGCTGCTCAGATACTGCACAGATAGATGCCTCAGAGAAGGTGGGTTCAAACTGCAGACAATTATTTCCTTATATGTAGAGACAAATTAATATACATATATAGATATATAAATTTCTTTATATTGTTTTCCTGGTTCATCTGTTGTCAGGACTCTGAACATTCGTCTGACGACCTCAGCTCCGGAGTCTTTTCCTCCTGCAACAGCCAAACAGGGGGGCACCTGCAGTGGTTGGTGGAGAACCAGCTTCCCTCACACTGCTTCGATGGTATGATGGCTGGAGTTTTCTTTTGCTGCATTTTGAGGTGGTTTATAAAGAAGTATTTCTCATCAGGCGTGGACATCTGGATAGAGAACGTCCAGGGCGAGTGTCTCAGGATCCGAGAACACAGGCAGGTCAAGGTGGGCCACGTTGCTATAGGAATAAGTGAGCAGGTAAGAGGGTGTGGGTTATAGATTAAATTGTTCAGACAAAGAGGAATAGTCCAGTTAGACATGGACAACTCATTTTTTACTCAACCGTAGATTCTCTTTTTTACTTTGACAGCTTATCAAGACAGCAAGAACCCAATGGAATTAGAAGGTAGAGCTCAGAGGAACTCTGACTTATTTTGATTAAGAACTTCATTTTGACATGGACAACTAATTTTTTACTCAACCGTAGATTCTCTTTAAACTTAAGCACTCGGTGGTTATTATAAATAGTCTCAAATGTATACAAATTATTTTTAAAAAAATGGCTAATTTATATTACTATAAAAAGGTTTAGATGGTAATTTAAAAAATACTTTCCTACAGATTTCTGGTAAAGCCTTCACTTTGGAGACACTTGACAGAAAGTTGGTTTCTTTTGATGAAGAAATCAATGAGTCCTGCATGTGGTTCCGCTGCATTCCT